GTTTTTAACATCTGAACTCACTGTACCTATTCCAAATGTATCCTGGGTGATAATCAAGCCAAATATTTTTATCATAAGATATAGACTTCAAATACATGGTACATAGCTCAGAAATAAATAAAACTGGGGCAGGCCCTGCTGTGGTACTGCAGGTTAAAGCCCAGGTCTGCAGCACTGCATCCCATATGAGTGCTGGTTCAAGTCCCAGCTGTTCCACTTCCCATCCAGCTCCCTTCTAATGCACCTGGGAAAACAGTGGAGGATGGCCCAAGTCCTTGAGCCCCTGCACCCACATGGGAGACCTGGAAGAAGCTCCTGGCTTCAGATTGGCTTAGCTCCAATGTTGTAGCCATTTAGGGAATGAACCAATGTATGGAAGACTGATCTTTCTCTCTCTCTCTCTCTCTCTCTCTCTCTAACTCTCTCGATAACTCTGTCTTTCAAATAAATAAAATAAATCTGTTTTAAAAAAAGAAATCAATAAAACTAAAATTGCCCTTGGGAAGACATGGTTCTCTTCATAGGCCATGTTCAAGAGAAAGAACAATAAGGAAAGACAGTAGTAGAGAAACTATATTCACATTGTTCAACATGAATCAAATAGAGAAGAAAAACTCTAAACCAAGTTCCCAGTCCAGACTCCACAACTGCCAAAAGAGTAAAGAAAGAAATTACTGTATGGTAACTGCTTGGTCAGATAAATTTTTAAAACCAACAAAACCAAATTAGACTTTTCTTCCAAATGAAACAAGCAGAAAATCAGGCTTATTAAGCAAAAATTTCTTAAGCATAGAAAAACCTACTCAAATCTGTAAAATATAATCTGAAAGGAAAAAGTACAGGTAAGTTATCTTCTTACAGTCCAGAATATTCACATGAATTTGGCACAATGAGAGTGCAGCACATTAGCTGCACATGCTATCTGATTTATATTAAGCAATGTGTCTTCTTACTGGAAGTACGCTCAGGCAACTTTCTCACCTCAAAGGTGAAATGCAATGGCAGCCTTCAAGATAGCTTTGACACGAACTTGTATATCAGAAAAGTAGAGAAATACCACTATAATCACGTTTAATCTTTTAAAGCTGTGATTGAGAAGTGGCATTTGGACAGGATTTAAACTTGGCTTTGGCCATAACAAAGATTAAACCAACTCCGGTTCTCTCTTAGCCTTATTTTTTTCTCATTAGTTAGATGTCACATAGGAAATGAAATTATTATAAACATATTTAACTTGTTTAAATGACTTTAAAAACATAACTTACAATCAGTGGGTTTCAAAATTCAATAAATCCTCTCACTTATTAGTTACAGAATATAGTTGCATTTAACCTAATAAACTTAAAAACATGGCTTTAAGGAATATTCTTTCTTGGCAAGAATTAAATTGGCTTGGCTAATTTACATTGTTTTAAATTTAGAGGGAATTGTGTACTGAGTCATGATTACAATACATAAACCATTTCCATGAAATGGTCTGAATTAACCTCCATGCTATTTATATAAACAGCACATATCATTGCATGCATTACAGTCTACTAGATGGGTTTTTTTTAATCAGCAAATTAAACTTGTAATTTAATCCTCAGCTAAATAGGAGAATAAGTAAAGTTCAGTATTTCATAATGTTCTAAATGATTGGAATTCATTGTTTCTATGTTTTAATATATCACAAAGAGTTGTGAATATCTAAAACTAAAACAAAATAATATAGTATTCAAGTGTATGTTTATAAAAATATAATAAAATAAAAGGCAGATAAACTATAAATGAAGTGATGACTGCCAAATTAGTTCAGAGTAATTTAATGTGTGGGTTCCAAATCTTCCTGAACTTATTGCTTGAAAGGGAACCCAATGACAGCATTCACACTGAAGATGTAATGAAGATTTGGAAGTCCTATAAAATTTTCACCTGTCTGTTAGGAACTAGATCATTGTTATTAGTCGTTTTCTTTTTCATCATTAAGAATCGACATCAAGTCAGAATAAGAAACATTCATAATTAAATTTGTTAAAGTCTGATAACAAAAATTTCCAAAGAACAAGTATGTGAAAGTGGCACAGAGAAATACTGAAATGATCAACTATGACAATTCTAAAAGCAGATATATTGTCTTCAAACAAACTGTAAGAAATAAAAAAAAATACAGGATTCAATGGTAAACTTATTTTGGTGCAAGAAAAGTTTGAAATCCATGTGTCGTTTTATCATAATACACATTTTCCACAAATGTTTAGAGTACCCTCAAAAGGTAGTGTAATGAAAATTCGGCTTTAAACTCTCCTCATATCTGCAAAATATCAAAAGGAGCTTTTTAATTAGATGGCTTTATTAATGAGTCTATATTATGTCTTGAAAAGTAATTCTTTAATACATAAGTTATTCTTAGATTCTATAGCTCAAATCTCCTATTCCACTGCAAACAGATTCAAGGGAAGAACCTTTTTGCAGTCACTGATATGTTTGGTTCATAGTTTCCCAAAAATAACTGGATCCAAACAAAGCATTTGGTTTTGCTGCCCAACTTGTTTCTTCTTAATGTTTTCCTGTCTAAGGAAGTGCTATCACCATTTATCCCTCTCGTCAAGCCAAGCTTTTAGGATTCCTTCTTGGGTCATTTTGACCTCACTTCCTAAATTCCAATCCATTGCCAAGTCCTACCTCCAAACATACTCCCAACTCTACCATATAGAGGTCCAGTCCTAAGCCCCATCACCTCTGGCCTGGACCACTGCAGGGGTGTTTGCATTGGTCTGTTCACTTGCTCTCTGGCCCCCCAGCCATCCACTATCCACACAGCAAGGCGAACCTGGAAAAAAATACATTGAGTATGACTCCTCTGCTTAACATCCTCTGGTGACTTCCAATTTCACTTAAAATCTAAGCCATTCCTTGGGGCCAGCCCTGTGGCATAGCGAGTAAAGCCACCACCTGCAGTGCCTGCATCGCAGGCTGCTCCAAGACCATGTTCGTTCTCGCTTCAGGGAATTTTCTTGAGTGGGATTATGCTCTCTGTTAGACCCTCAGCCTCAAGTTTCCACATGGTTGACTTCTTTCCACTGTCTCCTCAACCACCCCATGTAAAAGATGCCCAACCACACCATGCCGCCACACACCATCACAGCGCCATCTTTCTCGTTCTCCATCTCATCACTTCCTCCGTTAGTATGTAAATAACAAGATAAGATGGCACTTCTGTGACCTATTTATGGCTCAACTCCCAGAGCTAGGCAAGCTATTCCATAAACACTAGTCAAATGAGTCACTTCTATAGAATCATATGACTTGTATCTTAGGTCCTCTCTAGCCAAGATCAGATTCTGACAGTTTAGAAGCAGAAACATCAGAACAGCAACAATGTACCTGATGCCATTAAATGCAACTCAGGTCTTACCTGACAGGCGACACCCAGGGGATCACTTCTGCTGCAGGTGTGGGTGGTAAGTCAGCCTTCTCTGGGTGTGTTCCTATTTTCTAATCCTTTTCTCACTAAAACAAAAATTGCACTTGTTTGGCAGGAGGAGTCCATGGAAGTAGAAATATTATAAAATGGCAAGATCTTCCAGGTATCTCCAGGGCTCCACTTTTCATTGCAAACAAAACTAAAAGTAATGTAACATAGCTGTTTAGAAGAGAATAGAATACATAACTTTTTATGAAATGAGTAATTAAAAGCAAATCTAAACAAAGTAACAAATAATATTTCTTACTTTTTTACATCTGCATTTAACACATTTCTTTACATAAAAACCTTTATAAAAAACATAAAACATCATACTGCAGAGGACTGGAATTCAACATAATATATTACATAGCTGAAATGTTCATATTAATACTCTATATGCATGGACTCACTCCATTAGAAAAACTCACCTAGTAAAATATCAAAGACCAGCATCAGCAACGCCCAAAGAAAAACTATTTTACCAGTAGCAACACTGGAAATCACAACAGTGAGGTTTAAAAAATGTGGGGAAGAGAGCTCACTGCAGCTGCCATCCCATCACAATGGGCACAATCTGAAATATTATTTGAAAAATAATTTTAAAATATTATTGTAAAAAATACTTTTTTGAACGATACTTTTGATAGGTATAGTAGCAATAAAAAACAAAAACAGCTGTGTAGTGACTCCTTGTGAGGACTCACTGAAGCAATTCAACTGATGCAGCAACCTGAAAAGCAAGGTCCCCCCTGCCACACACACACACACACGTGTACACACATGCCACAGCCACGTATGAAAATAAGCTCCTCTCTCTCCGCGGTGTGCACTGAGTCACTGCTGCAAGGCCTCGGTCTGACACAGGGCGAGGGACCGCTGCGTTTGCAGCCAGTTTCCAGCTGCAGGGTCTGGGGATGCGTAAACAAAGATGTAGAAGCAAGCAAGCTGGAGTCTGCGCACACATGTGCCTGGTTCCCGCGCCGTCAGGCAGCGCCTCATCCAGCGGGTGAATATTTAACTCGGGAGGCAGGGTACTAGAACTTCCCCGGGCTCTGGGTGACCACCCTGGACTTCCTGAACACGGGAGTACTCTTTGGGACTTCTGGAACCCACGGTTCTTCAGCTGCCTCACTTATCTTCGTGATGGAGGTCGTAGGAAATATTCTCAAGCAGGAACTGGCAGAAATCCCTGCTAATGCCTCTTTTCCACCTGAACGTGGTGGCCACCAAGGTTAGCATGAAGAGCCAGACGTAGAGGAAGATGGAGACGCAGGAGGACGTGTTGTGGCCGCCCAGCCTGTGATCATCAACAGGACCTCAAAGGTGAACAGAGGCACGACGGTGGTGATCCAGCTGACCGCCATGGTCTCGTGCACCCTCCATTGTTCGGCAGTCAAGTCCGGCGAGCGCAGAAATAGCAGCTACCACACAATGTAGTAGAGCATGACCATGCACAGTAAGAACATGAGGATCCACAGGGGCACGAACGCCACCAGCCATGGCCAGTGGATAACGCGATCCAGCCTCGGGGCTGCAGGATGTTGACCGAACACAGCAGCTCCAGCTCCAGCAACTGGTAGTGCCGGAAGCCCCACATGCAGTCGGCCAAAGACACCAGCGACACAAAGAAGAGGGGCATGAAGACCAGAAGCGAGAAGTGGGTGTCCCTCCCCAGCCGGTCAGAGACCAGCAGCAGGTGGGTGCCCACGGCGATCAACATGGCTTTGAGCTCCACACAGGACTCGCGCTCGGTGCAGTAGCGGGGTTGCACATCCACACACCTGCGCCCACCGTCGTGTCCACCATGACCAGGAGCTTCCACAGCTACATGGGTGCAAAGACCACCCAGGAGCTCCCCTGGAGGACACTGTCCAGGCACAGGGGCAGCAGCGTGGAGAAGAGAAGCAGGCAGGCGTAGATGACGAACTTACCTGGGTTGAAGTCCTGAAACAGACCCCTGGGGTTCACGGCGCAAAGTAACAAATAGTATTTCATACTTATTTTAATTTGAAGGGTGGAGAGAGACAGACAGATAGAGATCTCCCGGCCACTGGTACCTTCCCCAAATGACCAAAACAGCCAGGGCTGAGTCAATTCAAAACCAGGATCTGGGAACTCATTCTGCATATTCCACCTAAATGGCTGGAACCCAACTACTTGAGCCATCAACCACTGCCCCCCAGGGTGTGCCTTAGCAGGAAGCTGAAGGCATCTCAAACAGCATCTTAACCCTGTGTCAAAAGTCTTCCATGATATTTTAATGTACTCATACTTCGCAACAATATTGATCTAAAATAGTAATAATAACTATAATAATGAGCAGTTATTAAGGTTTCGCTTTATAATAATCAAATTCCTTATTTTAAATCCTTCAATCATCACAAAAACGCTATGTGACGGGAGCTATTATTATCCTCACTTTAGATATAAGAAAACTGAAGCACAGTGAGTTTTAGCAATTTACCCAAAGGCACAGAGTTAATGAGTGTGACTAGAATACAAACTCAGCGATCCAAATTCCAGGGTTTGCACTGTTATGCTCCACTACATACAGCCTCAGGTTTTAGAGGTACCACTTTAAGTTAGAAGTAACATAAAATTCCCATCACAAAGTCTAGAACGCAACAGGTACTTGATACCTGGTAGAGAGTGTCCTTAACAACATTTTATTTCTTTAACATCTCAGATAAGGATATTCAGGGGACAATAGCCTCTACCAGGGGAAAGGCCTCAGGTCTTTGACACTGAGCTTATTAGGAAGAATTTATCAGAGCTGAAGTCAGGCTGTCAGCATGGGGTCAGGAACTCAGAGGTCAAATTCAGGAAGAAATTGAATACAGGAAGTCAAGTGAGAAATGTAACAAATGAGAATCACATTGTCAAATCAACATCAAGTACACTGCTGAATAAGGTCTGATAGATAAACTCAAGGTCAGGAGCAACAAAAATTAGAGTAACGGTGATAAAAGAAACAACAGGCTGAAGCCAGTGGCATCCAGAGAGGCATTGCAAGTTCAGAGGAAGTAGGGATGTGGGCCTTTATACCCAGCTGGCCGCCAGGGGGAATTTCTTTCCTGGCTCACTCTGGCTCACGGATTAACCTCGCATTCTTAGAACTCTCTGCATCCCTACTGGTCCCGGGAACTTCATTTTATAGTAGAAGAAACAACTTTGTTTATGGAGATGATGCCAGGAACTTTCCCACTGACATTCAGTGATAGAAACAGAGTTTACGCTGTGGTGCTTTTCTGAGAAAATTCAGGAATGACTGTGAAAATCATCCCATCTAGAGAATTCCTACCTTCCTTTTTATTGTCTTCTTTATCTTCCCTTCTTCTTGAAGCATAAGCCATAAGAAAAAGAATGAAAGAGGAAATGCAAAGAATGCGATGGATATTTTCAGTCTCATCTCAATCTTGATGGTCAATGACTACGGGTGACTTTTTCCTCTCATCAGCAACATCTCAGCTATGTCTGGCTACTCCCTAGGGGAGACAGTGACTTTCATCATAACTTTGGGAGAGCCAGGAACACACCATAAACTTCCATGTGTATTTTTAGCAGAGAGTAAGAAGTATGATTCAGTAAGTCTTTATTAAGTATAATTTAAAGTACTTCAAAAGCCTGAGTGTATATATATATGTGTGTGTGTGTGTGTGTGTGTGTGTACACATGTATAACTTTAATATAACAATGAAAAGTTTTAATTTAGCAATTGTTGTTTTGAATATTGTCAGAATGCTTTTCCCCAGGGAAACAATTGTAAGAAGATTCATTGGCCACAGCAATTGTCTTAGTTTCTTGATTCACTTCTCGTATCTCATTGTTTACAAAATCTGTGAAACTTAAAAAGAGCAAACAATCATGTCTAGGTCTGAAGAGGAAGAAGCATGGAAAGCTCTTCTTCCCAAACCTGGGGAACTGTTTCCCAGAACTGGCTGAGCAGGGAGTCAAGGATGTTGCTGAGGGAACACTGGGCCACATAAGGATTCTCTGCATTACAGATGGAATTTTGAATTTTCCCTTAACTGCTTCTGGAACAAGCTACCAATGGAGAGTCCCTTCTGCACAGCCCTAGAAATGATCAACTTACAGTCAGAGAAGGAAATTTGCTGGCACGGCAATCTGGTACCTTTTTATCTGGTGAAAAATGTCTACATACTCAGGATTATGAATGTCACTAATACGTTTAAAATCAACGCATGTCAGTCATTAATATTCATATCGTCGAAACAAAACAGCTCATACTGTGGCTGCTCATAAATCTGGCAGAATCGAAGGGAAAGAAAAGGGAAAGGGAAGAGATAAAGAACGGGCGAGCTCAGGGATACGTTGAACACAAGAGGGGACTCCATTCATTCGGTCTAACATCTGCTCAGCCTGAAGTGGAACCACCTGTTAGTTTATTAAATTGTAGAATTAATTTATGTGGAAATATGAGAGGAGGGGGAAAGGTTGCTTTAATTCATATCCCCTCCCCCAAATCCTCTATTTATTCCCATCTCAAAAAGCCTTTCATGAAGAGCAATCAGTGCCGGGAACACCTTGCCCCATTATATAATTAATTGAAGAAATGAAATGTTTCCCGTGGCTGTTCTCTAGGCTTATAGCCTGTAATGTGTTTGTTGGCCATTTCCTTTGTCCACCACCAGTGCCTCCCTTAACAGTTCCACAGCAGCAGGAGCAGCCACAGCAAGGCGATTTTAGCAACCATGAGGAAGAGCTTCCACCCAACTACGTATCCAGATTTGTGGGGGATATTGTAACATCTCCCCAGCAGAGCAGATGCGAATAATAGAGCTGTGGCTCAGGGATCATAGGAAACTGGGCTCTGAGTAATGCAGAAGTCTCCATTAACCTCCCTGCCCCCTTTAATGAAAGACACACTGCTTTGCTTCCTCCAATATTCTCAAATCTCAGGATCTCAAATTTGCTAAATTAAAGTGGTGGATATTATATCTACAGTTGATTTCCTCCTAAGTTTGCCAAGAATGTCAGATGGTCATCAAGGAGCGTAAATACGAAAAGAGATTAGAAGAGCTATACAAACTTTTATATGAGTGTAGATAGATATTTCCCGGTATCTCCCATATGTCAACATGTCATCTTTTTATAACCTGTGGACTGGTTATCTAAGTTGATCACAATTACCTGGGGCACTGTATATGACAGCCTCTCCCGAGGTCTGATTACCAACCACAATCATCCAGGATTTTTTTTTTTTTTTTTAAGAATGGCAGGATTGGGGGAGGGATCTTCTCAAAGAGCTGCGTTTTGCTATTTACTCAAGTCACCATTGCTGTCCTTTGCTAAATCATATTGCTCTCATGAAGCCCAAACCCTAGGAGGCAACTTCCTTAAGGAGTGTTTTGTGTATGATTAAGGTTCATCAGCTTCCTTGGGTAAAAGTGACAAGAGATTATTGCAAATCTCCTCCTTTTTGTCTTTTGAAAGAGTTACGTAAAAAATCGAGGCTAACTTTCCATAAAGCGTTTATAAAATGCAGTGGAGAAGCCAGCTTTCCCCGGAGACTTATCCAATTACACAGGCTGCGTGGTCTTACCCTAAGAGACAGGAGCATTCAAAATTGTGTTTTTCTGATCATGGCAGAGAGTGTAGAGGGCGAAATCTAAGAAATTCAATTATCTCCCTAGGTGTCACTCAGCTTTGGGACTAATATAATTGGCTATAAATAATACAAGCACATTTCGGGCAGAACCTCTGTGGGTTTCATTACAAAATACCCTTGCCACTGAGTTGCTAACAACTGGTCTTCCACATGTTAGTTGGGATTGCAACTGCAGAGAGGTTACTTTGCCAATCTCTTGTTTTCCTCATTTTCATGGTGCTCTTTACATATTTTAATTAACATCCTGAATGTAACATTTTTAAGCATGTATTGCCTTTTCAATACACACCAAAATGACCTTTTAAGATTGTCTTTTAAAACGCAAAGCAATGCATGATTCTGACTCAATACCACGTATACAAAACTTTTCATTTTCAGGTCCCTGAAACTTAATGGAATCCTACAACAGCCAAGGCTATGAATATGAATGGTTAATGTAATGGGATTGCTAACACCCAAAGGATCGCACTAGTGGCCCACTTGGACTTCGTCTGCATGGGGCTTTCCCTTGACCAGGCTCTAGTAAAACTGTGAAATGGGGAAAAACTTTGGCTCTCTGCTTTATTGAGTGCACATAGTAGGCAATCAATAAAATTTGTTGATTTCATCCTAATTAAACCTTTTAAAAGCTAAGACATGTTGATAGGATGTTTGAATAGTGCCACGAAGGAAGAGGGTTTTCTAACCATGCCCACACAGATGGGCAAACGCAGATGTATTTTGAAGTCCTCCAGTATTCCAAAGGGTTTTTCAAATGTTTTGAGTTTAACCAAACCCTAAACACATTGTGCCAAGTACTATTTTCCTTTAAGTTTCAAACCCATGTGAATTTTAAGGGAAATTAAAGCCACATGTTTCTGATTCATTTTTACTTAAATCATTAAAACGCTGTTTTGGATGAGCCATTCGACTTCCAAGAAGCTTCACTTCACAAACTCCTTTATGCCTTTTTGGTGTGAGGTCAACAACAGGAAGTCATACTTTGACGGTGATAAATTAATTGTGACATCAAACACTGCAAATTCAAACCCTAGCACTCTTAACGATACTTCAGCAATTGGCAGATTCATTTTCCTAATTTTCTGTCAGGAAATGCTTGGATTTTGCTTTATTTTGCCAGCATAACCTGAGAAAGCAAAATATCTCACTTACCAGCACACTCAGTTCCACAGGAGGATGTAGCATCCATTATCGTCCACGTGGAATCCAGCGCTGGAGTTTTATTGATTTTGCAAAAGGGAACAACAGCATTGTTTTGCCACACTACTCCACTTGGACAATATTATGCAGGGAAAAGTAAGAAAATACAAATTTCTTCTTTCACCATCCAAAGTTGGCTGCCCTAAGCAAGGGGTGCTAAAAATGCGATGCAAAACCTGGTAAGAAGTTACCCAAGACATCACAAGGAAAATAGTTCTCACATCATGGTTCCCACCTCATCCACCCCTTGATATCATGTTTCACATTGAAGGCCCCTCTCCACAGCCCTTCACACTTAAATATTTTGATCTTGAAGCTACTTTGTTGCATTTTCACTCAGTAACTATTTTTACTCAATTCAGCCTAATGATGTATCTTGCATTCTTCCCATCCTTTTTGTTTCCACCCCTGTGCCTACTAAATGATCTATTTGTCTCTGGTTTTCTCCCTGACTTAAGACTGTGTCTGGCCAACAGGTTAGTCTTTCTGAAACACCATCTTGCAGATTTAACTCTCCTTGAAAATTTCACTTGTTCCCCACTGCCAACAGAACAAAGTTCTTAACTCTAACTTTCATACTTATCATAGTTAAACACTCTATATAGCGTGGTTTTCGCCTAAACTTTTACAAGTTTCCCCTCTAGGTCAACTTATCAAGTACTGTTGCCTGAACTACTGACCCCTCCCCAGCCATCTGCCTTCCATTCATTCCACCCTGAAATCTTCCCTATCCACTAAGACCTAGCATTCCTCTACCTTCACCCAGTAGACTGTAAAATGCTCTGCCCTGGGTTATACACATAGCCTTGACTTCTCTATTTACCTTGCCATGATTTTTAGATCTGAATTCATTGTCCTGTATCCCTAACTACACTTTAAACTCCTTAAAATCAGGGGCCATCTATTGCTCATCTATTGTTTCAACAACCATTTGATTGTGTAGTTGGACTACAGATTATAAAAAGACAGGAAGGGAAAGGAAGGGAAGGGAAGGGAAGGGAAGGGAAGGGAAGGGAAGGAGGGAGAGAGAGAGAGGGAAGGAAGACTATTATATATGTGTATATAATGAGTTGTTTTACAATGATTTCATATTAATCTTAGTTTTAGAAATCCTGAAAACCCAACAGTAACATTTCATAATGTCTTAAAACTGACACCAAAAAAAAAAAAAAAAAAAAAAAAAAAAAAAAAAAACCTGATCTAAATCCAACTATAACACTGCTTTGAACATCACCTGAGGAAGAGTAAATTATATATGGCATAATGAAAGCTGTCTTAGATGGAAGGTCTAGACAGGTGTTGATTTCACATTGCGGCATTTACACAGATTACTCACTCGGCGAAGGTAAATGGCCCCTTTGGGCCTCTCCTCATCTGTAGAATGAACTGGGTGATCCTTTCAGATTTAAAATTCTGTGATACAATCAACATTCGCAAGTCTGAAGTGATGAGGAATAGCAAACGTTTTCTGGATCTATTCCAAAACCTCCATAGCATTATGTGTCAATTTCAAGCTCTGAGTTGAATTCTCATTACCTGTGTAATCAGGTTGTTTAATATTATTTCACACACAGGAACTCCAGGCCTAATCAGTCATCTACTGATGGGACATCCTAGTAAGCAACACACTCCTTAAAGAAGGTAAGTATTGCTTAATTCTTTATCCTCAGGGTCTGCTGAACAGTACAAGCTTTATGTCTACCGGCCAAATGAATAGGTAGGATTCGAGGATGTCTAGACAGCACAGGAACCTGTGCTCATTCAGGAAAGGAAGAGCAACAATAAATGTTGCAAAAATATTTTGCAGAAGCTATAGCAATTATGAAATAGATACAAATTGTGCCTCTCCTCATGCCCCTTTTAACTAGTTCTCAAATGCAGGCTGCAGACATTTGTGAAGGTGCTCCACATCCAATCAGAACTCCAAAAGTTGTATGTAGTCTCTACCAGGAACACAGCACTCCTCTTTGACAAATCAGCAGTGAGAGGAGCAATGGCTGTTTGTAACTTATTTTTCTTCTAAAATATTTCAATCACATTTTTATATATCATACATCATCAAAAACATAAAATTGGTTGATGCTACAACAGATATCAAATAACATGTATATCTAAGAGAATCTAATGTAAGTTATGAGTATTAATAAGAAAGGTAATTAGGTGAACAGACACAAGATTACAGGATTGAAATAATTCTTAGACAGTAGTTAAGTATGTTAGTAGTCCCTTAAGGCATTTGGATCTGGCTAAAAAGCCCATGAGAGTATTTCAGGCATGGAAAGCCAAGACACTCTGGAAAAAAAAAAAAAAAAAAAAACTAAATGAAAGATCTCTGTGAGTGAGATCCCAGTGGAAAGAATGGACCATCAAAGAAGGAGGTACCTTTCTCTGAAGGGAGGAGAAAACTTCCACTTTGACTATGGCCCTGTCTAAATATGATCAAAGTTGGCGAACTCAAGAGGCTTCCATAGCCTTGGCAACTCATGACAAGAGCCTCAGGTGATTACTGACATCATAAATAAGAGTGTCAATTGTTAAATCAACAATAGGATTCACTGTACACTTACTCCTCATGTAGGATCTCTGTCCTTAATGTGTTGTACTATGTGAATTACTAGTACTCAAACAGTACTTTAGACTTGGTGTTTCTGTGTGGGTGCAAACTGTTGAAATCTTTACTTAGTATATACTAAATATATTTAGTTGAAATAGTTACTGTTGAATATATATACTGTTGAAGTATTTACTTAGTATATACTAAATTCATCTTCTGTATATAAAGATAATTGAAAATGAATCTTGATGAAGAATGGGATGGGAGAGAGAGTGGGAGAAGGGATTGTTGTGGGTGGGAAGGTGGTTATGGGTGGAAAAAGCCACTATAATCCAAAAGTTGTACTTTGGAAATTTATATTTATTAAATAAAAGTTAAAAAACACTTATTGACTAGAAAAAAAGTATGTTAGTAGTTAAGTATGTTAGTTAAGTTGGTGGAAATTGCATATTATAAAACAATTATACATAAACTTCAAAATGTTCTGCACCAAAATACAGCTTATCTTTTCTTTTTTAATTTCAAAAATGTTAGTAATGTGTAATATATTTTATGGGGTATAGTACAATATTTCAAGACATATATTCAGAGTAAAGTTTTCAAATAAGGCAATTAGCTCCATTTCCCCCTCTTTATTAAATTTATCTTTCAAATCCATAATTTCCAGAAAGTTCTTGAAGTACTCTTATAGTTTAGAAAATATAATGAAAGATAGGACACCATTACCAACAGTTAGCATTGTTATGACATTAAGTACTCTGGAATAAAATTCCCATCAGTAAATAGGAACTATATAAAGAAAACTTTATTAAAGATCATGAGTATATTTTGCTAATTGGAGAGGTATATTATTTTCCAAAATAATACTACCTAATATTTTAAAAATACAAATTCTATTCTCAAATTAAAATACACACTTAATGCAATCCCAATCAAAATTCCAACAGTAAAGTTGTATGGAATTTCATAAGCTGATTCTAAATTTATATTAAAGAGAATATACCAAGAATAATGATAAAAGAACAATCTAATGGCATTTGCCCTATCAGATGTCAAAATTTATTTGTGGGCTATGGACATCAAAACAGAACTATATTGATGCAGTGGAATAGAATAAAGAAATTTAAAACAAATCCACAGATACAAAACCACTTGTTTTATTCTAAACAGGGCATAACTAGTATAAAATGAAGTGGGGAGACTGAGGTGATACTTAATAACTACTACTTACAAATGGAAATTATGAAAGAAGACGTTTTAAACCTTCAGGCAGAAATGGCCTTCCTAAGAAAGATACAAAATTTATAATCCATAATAAAATTTATTTTGCAATACCTAAAAATTTTAACTTCTGTTCAAAGAAAAATACCATGAACAAAATAAAGTTAGGCTGTATTTACCAAAAGACATCACTAAGTAAGAGGAAAGTCAAAGTGGAAGATGTTTGCAGAACTTGTCAGTGCCCAAAAAGAACTCATATGTAGACTTTGTAAATATGGCTACAAATCAATTTTTTTAAGCAGATAATACAATGGATAAACAGTGGCGAGGAAATTTACCGTGTGTACTTCTTGTGAGACACTGCACATGAGTGAGTATCCACATGGCCAACAAACATGGGAAAGAGTGCTCAAGCTAATTAGTCAGCAGAGAAAAGCCAAGCAAAACCACAGTGAGATCACTACATATCTATCAGAATGGCTAAAATGAAAAAGACTAGCAATATCATGGTAAGAAGGCTTTGTAAAGCAGGTGAAACGCTGGTAGGAATGTAAAGTAGTACAACTTATCTACCAAAATCAAACATATATACTCTCCCTAATATATTATCAATTAAAATGCAGTTCACCAAAAAATATGTATTGGCACATCATTCTTTATGTTATCTTAAAATAGAAATGATCCAAATGTCCATAAATAGTAAAGTAAAAATGGTTGCATAGAAATACAGTGGAATACTATACAGCAATGAGACTTTTTAATTAAATCAGTTTGTGTGTAAGTTCTTCTTTTAAGATGTTCAATTTTGTAATTGGCCCCAAGCAACAGTCTGGCACCTAACCCTATTTATGCTTAGAGAAACAACGAAGGGCATGATGAGTTCAGTGTGTTTTCACAACATATCTGTGTCAGCTGATACTGCTAAAATAGCCTCATCTGACCTTGGAGGAAGCCTTGCTCCATATGGAGAGCAAGCAACCATTAGTGGGAATTTGGAGCTCAATATAAACCAATGTCTTCTAAAGTCTCTTGTATATCCCTATTACAATTCTCTCTCACTTTTTCTTTATTGATTACTTAATGCTCATATAAAAGATTCAACAAAGCAATGAATTCAACTGATAATGTAATTTTGGCAGCTCATTGGATCAAGCTTTGATTTACTATCGAACTTTATCAGTCGTTAGGTTTCAAGAGATAGAGTCATTTACATTAACTCTAATACAATTTCCAGTTTCAATCGAATGAACTTAAGTCAAAACTTTAGAAACTTTCACTTGCTATTCTTTTCCTTTAAGCTGCCCAGGGCCCTGAAGCACCTGTCCTACTCATAGTCTTGAATTACTTACGTCCCTCTATACTCACTTATGGCAACAACAGTCTTATCCTCAATAGATGTTTCATTTCAGGTGACCACAGCAATATTTTAAATAACTTTACATAAAAATAATTGCTTCACCATCTTTGAATACTGATAGGATTTTCATTGCCTTCATCTTCATTCAGGCTATAACTAGTTCCAGATCTTCCTCATCTCCTTGAGGGTCTTTTGACTAGGATCCACTCTCTTGTAAATTACCACAACATTTGGAGTTGTTTTGTAATCAATAGAAATCATTGCCAGCTACTTACAAAAAAGAAAATTTGGGGAAGGCCATCAGGTAGCTTACCATATCAACAAAAAGCTTAATACCTAGACTAAAATAAAGGGAAGTTAGATAGCCAGAAAGGGGCCAAGGTCCCACTACAGAAAGTCCAGCAGGACACAGCCCCTGGAACTAGCAGAACTACCTTGGATAATTAATCAACTGTCCCTGCGGTTTTACATCTCCTCAAGCTTCAGAGACTTAGGCAAGAGCAACAATTGTCCAGACTGTAACACTAGGATGTTTCAATAACAAAAAAAAAAAAAAAAAAAACACACTAAATAATCCAACTGAAGAGTGAACAAAGTATTTGAAGAATTGCTTTACAGGAAGACACACAAATGGCTAATAAACATAGAAAATATTTTACCTCTCGACAAAACAAAATTATCTGCTAGTAAGTTCTGGCATTTAGTGAAGCCATTAAGAAGGAACTTGGGATACTACAGCTCATTATCAAAGGGCCAGGGTTCGTGTCCAGGCTCCTCTTCTAATTCCAGCTTCTTGCTAGTGCACCCTCTGGCAAGCAGAAGGCAATGGCTCAAGCAGTTGGTTCCCTGTCACCCAAGTGGGAAATCTGGATGGAGTTCTAGGCTCCTAACTTCAGGCTGGTCCAGCTCCAGCTATGGCAGGCATTTGGGGAATTAATCAAATTAAATAAATAAAAATTACTTGTAAAACTGAGAGAAAACTGAGAAGACTAATAATATCTTATCCTTGTGAATATGGAGGAAAACAGACATATTCCATAATATTCACATTTGACAGTATCACAGATTGGTATAGTCTTTTTTTTATAAATTGTTTCTGTTTTTAATGTATTTGAGAGGCAGAGAGATAAAAAGACAGAGAGACTTTCCATCCATTGTTCACTCCCCAAATGCCCAGAAGCCAGGAACTCAATCTGGGTCTCTCACACAGGTAGTAGAGACATGACTATTTAAGCTGTCACCTGCTGCCTCCCAGAGCACATATTAGAGGGAAGCTGGAATTGACAGCAGAGCCAGGATTTAAACCTAGGCACTCCAATATGGATTCAAAGATCCCAAGCATCATCCTAGCTGCTGTACCAAATGCCTGCCTCTAAATAAAATTCATTTATTTATTTATTTGCAAAACAGAGAGACAGAGAATGATAGTTCCCATCCACCAGCTTTGGAGGCTGAAGCCTGAAGCCAGAACTCAATCCCAGCCTCTCATATGGGCAATAAGAGATCAACTATTTGAGCCATTACTTCTGCCTCCCAGCATCTGCACCAGCAGGAAGCTGGAGTCTGGAGTTGGAGCCAGGAATTGTCAGGCATTCCAATATGGGCACAGGCGTCTTAGCCATGAGGCTAAATGCCTACCCTGGTACAGACTTTTTGAGGGGTAATTTTTCATTATCTATCAAAATCTACCACGTGCTTATCATTTGCTCCAGAAATTGGACTTCTAAAAATACAACCTAGAGAAACATTCACATATGTTCAAAGATGTACACAGATGTTCATTGCAGTATTGACTGTAATTAAAACAACCTAAGTGCCCCAAAGTAAGAGAAAGGTTAAATAAATTAAGATCTTTTCCTACACTGGAAAAAAAAATATATATATACATATATATTATATATATATATACAAATCTTGAAAATCTATCAGATTTTTTTTTAAGATTGATTTTATTTATTTGAAAGATGAAGTTACAGAGAGAGGTAGAGACAGAGACAGAGAGGTCTTCCATCGCTGGTTCATTTCCCAAATGGCCTCAACACCTAGAGCTGAGCCAATCTGAAGCCAGGATCTGGGAGCTTCTTCCAGGTCTCCCATGTGAGTTCAGGGGCCCAAGCACTTGGGCCATCCTCTGCTGCTTTCCCAGGAGCATCAGCAGGGAGCTGGATTGTAAGTGGAGCAGCCGGGACTTGAACCAGCACTCATAAGGCATGCCAGCACCGTAGACCGGGGCTGCCACAGCGCCGGCCCCTAGAAAAGATATATTCTTAAGGAAAAGAGACAAGTTGCAGAATAAAATTTATAATCCCACTGATGTAAAATAAAAAGTATGTATTATGCATCTATGGATGCCAAAGAAGAGTGTAAAAATGATGCATACCCTACTCGCTAAGGTTTGGGGACACCGAGCTTCCACACTTTAGTCTACAGAATTACGTATTGTGTGAATTTTCACAAGAATGTACCCATCTGTCACTTCCATATTGAGAAACATAGGACGTGAGGATGTGAGGAAGGAGAACGTTTCAAGGGGTAGAAGTATGACACGGGACGTACAGTCTGTTCTTGCAGCTGCTGTATATGCAGCAAAAAGGAACTCAGTCTTCGCAGTCAGGCGTGACCTGAGTTCCGATCCCTGCCTCACCACTTCTCGGTTGCGTGGGAGAGGATTTCTTACCCTCTCTGAGGGAGCTTCCATTTTCCCCATCTGTTTACAAAATGAGAATAACAATCGCATCTCTCCCTCTGTGGTTGTGAGGATTAATTAGCCCTGTGCCTAATCCATTGCAAGAAGTGATAATAAAGACACACTCTCTTCTCTTCTCCCCAGCCCAACAACCCCTTACTGAAAGGAAGAGGAACTAAAGCAGTTCTCTACTCACGGAGTCCAACTAAGGAAGAAATCATTTCCCTAGCAGGTTTCTGTTGGTACTCGTATGTCCTTTGCTTGCATCATCCTAAGACAGGATCACATGAGCAGATGCCACTTTCTCCGGTGAAGGAACTAAGTCCCCATTATACCAAATGCCTGCTATAGGTCTGAGCCCCATTACTGAGCCGTGGACTCACGGCCCCTGCCCCGGCTCCCAGGACCCCAGAGCCCAGCCTTTTTCTAATCAGACTGTATTATGTGCTGCTTTAGACTTTTATCTAGAGAAAAACCCAAGTCATTTATTTGAAATATTTCTCCGCAGAAAATCACAGGTAGCTTCGGATTTTACCCTTAAAAGCCTCTTGTTTAAAAAAAAGAAAATAAGAAGTCCCAAATCTGATCAATAGCAGGGAAGCTATAACCCTGATCCCTTTCACCAGAGAAATTTACAACCAAATAGCGCTTTGGAGCCAAGATTCTCACAGCAATGAAAATGATGTGGCCAGAGAAGGGGGAGCAGGGCGGGGGGTGAAGAAAGACGCGGTGATAACCTCCTTGGGATATCTCTAAGCTCCATTACACTATCCAAAAGAAATATAAGAGGATGGAGGCCCAATTATTACTTCCTCCATCTAACCCCCTTCATTTAACATATCATTAGTATTTTTAGACAAGTCCCTCGGGGCTCTCACACTCTCCTAGGTGAGTCAGACAGCAAGAGCCGTGGCAGCTATCCAAGGAAACTGATCCCCCTTTTAATGCGCCTTTCTGGTTACCTGCTATAATGCAATTATCATGTACTGAAGCAATTTTCGGGAAAATGACTTGACAAGAAGAACTCTGTCATTTTGTAAACAAGAACAAACCGTTGTAATTGGATCTTAATTACACAATGTTCTGAGAGGTTATTTTTATTTCTTTGTTTGTTAATGCAATTATTTAGCTTCCCTATTTTAGCCTTGACCTTGCAGGAAGAGGGTATTTTCCAGTCAGCATAATGCTTTATCTTTGAAAGCTACAATCAATAAGGATAATTAATGATGCCGGCTGCAATGATAGCCTCAGCAATCATTATCCCACATTAATCCCTGCAGTCAGGCTGGGGTCAAGGCCATCTAAATCATTCACCCAGGGGTGGAGAAATTCAAATAATTTACCAATTTAAATCCTTGCAAACAAATCCCACTTTATTTTCAAAGCAGTTTGAATGCTGGCCGGGTGTGTGTATTTTTTCACCAGGTGCTTTTTTCAAAATGACAGAAGATATTCTTTATACAGGATTAGCATCACAGTTTTGCTATGTTTGTGTTTTGATAAATTAATGTAAAAACATGCAGCCCGTGGAATGCTGCTGAGCCTGGAAGCGCGCTCACATCTCACACGTCCTCGCTGGCTCTCACAGAGGAAGGGGAGAAGGGGAGGGCAGACCAAGCCTCGGAGGTCTCAGGCCGGCCAAGGCCTGGGGGAGAAGGTTGGGAAATCCAAGCGGGACAGTGTCCGAGCTGGAACTGCAGGCTTACTCAACACTATTGAGAGGAGTGTGGGATGCGGAACTTCACACAGGCCCTTGTGAAGCACATCCTGCCGGGGTCCACGGCCTCCTCATTCTGTCTTTTTTCCTGCCTTTCCCTAACAAGCAGAAGGCTGACTTCATGTACGCTTCTAATTGCCTGCGCTAGATCACACCCTGTTACGAAGCGTTCCACTGTGCCCCCAAATATTTTTCGATGATTTCATTTTAATTAGTATTTTGCTATAAATCACATTCCTAGTCTGCATGCACTGGAGATGGTATCAAATTGATGCCCGGTGTGCATGCACGTGTGTGTGTGTGTGTGTGCGCGCGCGCGTGCACGCGCGATTCCAGAACTGATTCAGCAAATGAAGAGACATTTGAATCCACTGGGTCTCAGTAAGTGTTTGTTGATGCAACATAGCCACATTTCGCTCAGGCCTCTTTCTTTCCAAGCCATATAACATGTGAGAAGGAATTACAGCAGGCAAAGCATGGTAATTAGGGCCTGGGATGAGTTGGGGGTTCGGGGGGAGACGGAGGACCCCTAGGAGGGAGCTGCTGGAAGCAAAGCAAAGATCCGCAAAGCCCTCCGCCGGAGTCTCCCTTCTCCTCTCACCGTGAGAAGTTCTCTGCAAAGACTTGTGCCAAAAGCTGCCCAGGATTTATCACCCGTTGCTTTTTCATTATGCACTGTGACTGCTAAAGAGAAAGCCCTTCACATTTCTGAGCGCGGTTATTATATTCACGATAAGGAACTCTTTCTAATGAGATTTTATCGCTCTCGTTCCGTCTTCCAAATGTAGATCCTTGCTTCATCCTGGCAAAAGAAAAAAAACCAGAAGATATATTTGGGGTCTTGGGAGAGATCTGAGCAGAGGGGGAAAGCAAATGAAACTGAATCAAGAGGTGAAAGTGAACTACGCATTTAACCAGGGGAAAGCACGCGTGAAACAGTGCATCCCCTTCCAGCCCTCCAGCTGTCTAGCCACCTGCCATCTGTCTTTCTAGACTTGTGTTTCTGATTTAAAAAGAAGAAGAAGAAGAAAAAGAAAAGCCCCATCATTGCTGATGCTGCTCTCTTCCATCTTCACCCTCTCTGGCCTCTTCACCTTGCATTCCTTCAACAAGCAATTTTGGCTAAGCACTGACAAGCAGAGCTGGCTGTGCAATTAGCAGGCCAGGCACAAAAATGAAAATGCAGGGTGTCAGTGGGGCAGTGAAGTCCATCTCCCCTTCCCATGGGCCAGCCACTTCCATAGTCCATAGCAGATGGGCAACCCCAGGGGATTGCAACCTTTGCACCATGTGCACTCATATTCAGACACAGTAGTGGGTGAGAGGCCAATGGAGAGCCAATCACCAAAGCACCATGGAGCTGCCAGCCTTGAGTGGCGATAGCCACCAGCTTGCCTTCCCTGAGATAGCATGGGACACACACCCATTGCCAACCCTCCCTTACTTATGGCCAGGCCCCCAGTAGGGTCTCAGAGTATAATGAAATGTGAGTGTTCCCCCTCCTGAGCAGTGCGAACTGGTCACCACTCCCAGCAGTTTTGGGGCCAACACAGAAGAAGAAACCAGGGAGGACCAAGGCCCCAGGTAGCGGGTAGTGAACAGGCAGTTGAGAATCCATCCTGGAGAGGCAAAGAGGTGTCGTGAACCCAGGCTCGAAGCTCCCAAGTGCATACCATTGTTCCATTGAACTTCACTTACGCTAACTCAAAGACAAATACAAATTCAAGGTAAAATGATGAAGAATTTCAAAATAGCAAATCTAGAGTATTAAACTCCAAGGGCAGGACCTTTCTGAGCATGGGGCCTATGGTCAAACGCACTGGTCACTCACTCATGGAGCTGTCCTATCACCTACCAGGAGAAGACCTAAAGAAGATAAGCCTCAAATGCCTGGCCTCTGCAAGCTCTTCTTTTGGTAGACACACGCATTTTCCAAAAAACAGTCCCATGGCGATGAGAGTGTGATTCAGCGAGCACGTGTGCCAGGCTTCGTGTCGAGCACCCTACATGCATCATCGTAGTCTCACCGTGACTTTACGAGGTAGTAATTCTACCATCCCTCTATTTTACATAATGAAACAGGTTTTCGAAGTTAAGCAGTTTTCTCAAGATTGTATAGCTGGAAAGAGCCAGAACCAGGATTTGAAAGAAAAATGGATGCTTCTAAGCCCAATACCGTGCTGCTTCTCTTATCAGAAAGATTTGTACAAAATACTCCACAAAGAGCCCAGAGGTTGTTAACACCACCCTGCTGGGGTTAGGAAAGGCACTACAAAAGTGGTGAATTTGAGCTAGGTTTTGAAAAATGAGTTGGCATTTGCCCAAAGAGAAGAATGTTCTACATGTAGTCAAGGAAGGGCACAGAAAACTCAGGAAGGCCTTACAAATGAGCAAGGGTTACATGGCAGAGAGCATAAGAGAACAAGGCTGAACAGGCAGGGAAAACCAATGTAAGAACCATATCCTGGACTGGATTCTGTAAGCTGTGGGAACCCACCCGTCACATTAAGATGATGGTAACATGATCAGATTCCTAAACCCTCAAGAGTCAAGCCAGATTTACATGGAACACAAACAAGAAAATAACACCAAAATGACTGTCATCTTCTTGGAAACCATTCTCAATTTATGCCCAGGATTTTGCAAAGGCTCCCCACTCAATGACAAAGTCGTTCTTCCAGAAGACTTGCCGACTCAGAGAAGAGGCTGAAGAATAGTGAAGGCATATCTGTCAATGAGAAAGGCTCCAAAAGACAAGAAGATCTCAGGTGATCGGGAACATGGGCCCATTCCCATGGCAGCAGAAGACAGGGGCCCTGCAACAAGGCCTCTTTTGGCCACTGTTGTACTGACGTATTGTCCTGGTCCAGACCTGTGTTTTATTGGACCAGACACAGATGGAATTGCCAAGGTTATTTTGTTCACAGCCAATCAGTGATCCCAAATTGGATTGAAGACAGGAGGTGCCAGGTTAAACATTGGCTGTGTCCCCTAATGAGTTCTGAACAGGTACCTACCTTGAAACATTTTCTAAGAAGGCAGGAGGATGAGACAAGGTGAGGGTGAACTTTAAAATCAGACAGGACTTCATGCAAATCCCAGCTGTCACTTGCCAGCTTCGTGGCTTTGGAAATTCCCTGCATGAAGCTTAGTCTTCTCATCTATAATGGGATTAAAAATTATTTTTAACCATAAGAAATAAGAAACACAAAATAAAACAAAAAGACAGAAAACACAATAAAAAAAGAAAACTTTTAACCATAAGAGCAGACTAGAAGAATGAAAAGATACAGCAAATAAACAAGTGTCTGTGGTAGTGCACATGGTGATGCCAAAAAAAAGTGCAACTTTATCTTTTCTAGATTTATTATTTGTTAATTTTAGATGGATTTATTGTATTTATTTGAAAGGCAAAAAGAAATGCAGAGAACTCCCATATTCTGGTTCATTCCCAAGTGCCTGCAACAGCTAAGGCTGCATCAAGCTGAAGATGGGAGCCCAGAACTCAATCTTGGTCTTGAGTTATCATTTGCTGCCTCCTAGGAGGCACACTAACAGAAGACTGGAATCAGGAGCACATGTGGAACTCGAACCAAGGCACTCTTTTTTTTTTATTACATAAAAATAAAAGCTTCCATTTATTGAGAAAATATAACAATACCAAGGATGCATATACTTTTAATTTTTTTAAATATTATTTAAGTTATACAAGTTTCATGTATTTCATATATACAGATTTAGGAACATAGTGATACTTCTTCGCCTACCCTCCCTCCCAGTCATGCTCCAACCCTTCTTCCTTCTCCCTCTCACATTCCCACTCCTATTTTTACAAAGATCTATTTTTAGTTTACTTAATCATTGTAGTTAACACTTCACTAAGTAAAAGAGTTCAACAAATCAACAAACAGTAAAATCAAACAAACAAACAAAAAAACCTGTTCCTCAATAGAAGAGACACAGACTGTAAACAATCATCAAATCTCAAAATGTCCATTTCACTCCAATACATTATATTTCAGGTACTCTATTAGTTACCTCAGATCAGGGAAACTGACTTATTTCACTAAGTATAATGGTTTCTAGTTGCATCCATCTTGTTGCAAAAGCCAAGATTTCTTCTTTTTTTTTTTATAACTGAGTAGTACTCCATAGTGTATATACACCATAATTTCTTTATCCAGTCAACAGTTGATGGACATCTAGGTTGATTCCATATCTCAGCTACTGTGAAGTATGCTGTAATGAACATGGGGAAGCCAGGCAGTCTAATTGGGTCTGTGGGCATGCCAAAAAACATCTTAACCAAAGGCCCACCCCTAGCCTTCATTCTTACCTATGGTGTAACAGAGTGCTAGCTCCATTCAAAACAACTGCTACCTTCACCACTTCTTCATTCTAAAACCTTCCTCCCTTTCACTCTTGGAGCACTCCCCACATGCCATGCACCATGCTGTGTCCTGGAGACACAATGGTGAACATGATCTCTACCCTCTTCTAGCAAAGGTGTGTTTCTATGGCAAATGTGTAGGAACAGTCCCAAGCAGAGGGAGTTGTCTGATGGGAATCTTTATGTAATGAATGCTGGTCAAGTTCCCCTCTATCAAAATATCTCCTCTAACTCCTGAGAAGTCTTCATTTGACAGTGCTTTGAAGTTTGAACGGAAAGAAAATACCTTAAGCTAGACCTTGTTAAGGCCTTAAAGAGATTAGTTAACAATGAGGTAAGAGGTGGCTAGAATGAGGGAGTGAGGGACGGACAACAGAGGAAGGGTGGGGGTTGAAGGAAATCAGAGAGGAGATGAGGTATATCGGTATCAGACTGCGCATCTGCAATATTTGTGCGGGGGTCAACTGTCTTCTTTCCAGCACTCACCTAATGATTAACCTCTGTGGGCCAACTTCTAGAGTGTAACTCGGAATTCTAGAAAGCTTCTGAGGAGGTAAGAGTTGACCATGGGGAACACTCCAGTGTCTTAGGTTTTTTTTATGATACCTATTGCAAAATAAGTTCTATAACCTAAGTAATTTTAGTCTAGAGCTATATCTGGGTTTTTATTGACCCTCTAAATCTCAAATAAAACTGAAAGTCTGAACACATACTTAATTTTCTTCACTCTTTTAATCCAAACAATTTAATTAATCTAAAGATTTTTTTATTTCCTTTCCTTTACGATTGTGCACCCTCTTCATACTTGGATTCATTACATTGGAATTTGGGAAGGGTTATGGGTAAAGCTTGGAACCACTGGGATTTTCTTTCCTTAAGAATGGGGAGATGTGGCTGGCGCTGTGGCTCACTAGGCTAATCCTCCGCCTTGCTGCACCAGCACACCGGGTTCTAGTCCCGTCAGGGCGCCGGATTCTGTCCCAGTTGCCCCTCTTCCAGGCCAGCTCTCTGCTGTGGCCAGGGAGTGCAGTGGAGGATGGCCCAAGTGCTTGGGCCCTGCACCCATGGGAGACCAGGAAAAGCACCTGGCTCCTGCCATCGGATCAGCGCGGTGCGCCGGCCACAACGCGCCAGCCGCGGCGGCCATTGGAGGGTGAACCAATGGCAAAGGAAGACCTTTCTCTCTGTCTCTCTCTCTCACTGTCCATTCTGCCTGTCAAAAACACACAAAACAAAGATGGGAGATGCTTAGAAATAAGTCTCCTGTACCCAAATGTGAGCAGTGATAACCAAATTAAATTAGTCCAGGAGCTCTATCCAAATCCACATATCCATTCCTTTGCAGTGTCTGCTCTTTGAGTGATACAACGTCTTGACATTTCTCTGTGAGAAATAAGGAGACCCCCCTCATACTGCTCAGTCCCAAATCTGAGATCTGGGATTTTGCCAGCCTCTCAATCACTTCCTGATGGCTCTCGATGCTGAATTGGCATTTATTTGGCCTTGGGAAGGGATCAGAGGGAGGACTGGCTGCTTTCCAAGAGAGACGTAAAAGCAAAAGAAGCGGGGAGCAAGGGACAATTCCCTTAGCCTCAGATTTTTAAGAAAACAATGAACCTTGTCTCTAAGGCATTTTAGGCTCCTCCTCCTAATTCTTTCAGAAGCATGATCTGTTCTGTAAGTGGTAGCTGTGCCCCTAATATTACACACATGGTCACTTAAGCCAATTCAGCCCCCAGCAGAGAGAAAGAGGAACATTGTATCATGAAGGTCATGTAACTGCCATTCCACTCAGCACACTTGGACCCAAGGAAGGACAGAAAAGGACTTGGGTCTACTGTTCCTTCAGGTGGTCCCAGATCTTGTGAGCTTTCTCACTGTGTATCTCCTGCTCCATGGTCTCTAGTGCTTGGACACTTGTTTTTTGATATCTCCTAAGTGTGAGCCTGTCTCAGTTCCTCACCTGATGTACAAAGAAAACGTCTACCTGAGATTCTTTAAGGTCACTCGTAACCACACACTTGGACAACCCTTGCTTTATATCTACTGCCTTTGAAACACAAATCCTCTATGAGTGGTGTCTCCATTATTCTTCATCTCAACTCAAATTCTGGGAAACCACAGTACACAAAGGAGAAGCAAGTGATATCAACTCTTGGGAAGAAATTGAGAGGGCATGCGGCCCAGTCTTCATGCCTTGCTTACACAGAGCAAGGCACCAGGTCATAGAAGCATCTTCTCCGCATCCATCACTTTCAGAACAGAGATGGAAGTTAGCTCTCTGGTATTTATGCTGCATTTGAGAAGGAACATTTTGTGTTTGGTTTCTGTGTGGCCATTCTTCAATTCTGCCTATGGTGTCTGTAGTACATTACAAACAATTATCAAATTTGGAGTGATCATCATCAATTAAGAACAACAAATAGAAAATCAATCAAGCTTCTAGAGGTGCCGTGTGATGCATTCTCCCTGTGCTAATGATGAGTCTCTGGAAATGCAGTGCTATACTCTAGAGAGTAAACTCATAATCGATCAGCCAATCAATAAATATGTACTGAGCATCTATTACGTCTTTTCCTATATACAAAATATGATGCTGGCTGATGTGGTGGAAATACAGTAATTTAAACAAGGTTTCTGCTCTGCTCTTTTCAGGCAGAAATTGGGTAAAATGCACATATAAATGTATGTGTACATATCAAGTAGTAACAGACAAAAGACTTCCTATGAAGAGCGCTATTGGAGATCAAAACACAAAGATGTCATTGTTGGTAGTTAGAAATTTTCTAGAGAAAGGAGAGCTTGAGATCTGTTTAGGATAGGATAGGATAGGCTAGGCTAGGATAGGCTAGGGAAAACACAATGACATGGGCAAAGGTGAGGAAGTTAGAATGCATACAGTAGGTTCAAGAATAGTGTATCATATGGCTAAGGTAGAGTGTCTTGTGAGGAGTGACCAAGTACGAGAATTTAAAATACCTGGTGAAGGATTTTAGACATACCCTAAAGGAAATTCATTTAGGATTTATCCAATAAGCGAATTGTTCCTTTTTAAAAAATATTTATTTATTTATTTGAGAGGCAGAGTTACAGACAAAGAGAGGGAGAGACAGATGGAGAGGCCTTCCATCCGCTGGTTCACTCCCCAGGTGGCCGCAACGGCCGGAGCTGGGCAGATCCAAAGCCAGGAGCCAGGAGCTTCTTCCAGATCACCCATTCAAGTGCAGAGGCTCAAGGACTCGTGCCATTCTCCATTGCTTTCCCAGGCACATAAGAAGGGAGCTGGATGGGAAGTAGAGCCGCCAGTACTTGAACTGACGCCCCTAAGGGATGCTGACATCACAGGCGGGGGAGGCTAAACCTTGTTCACCACAGGGCAAGCCATACAGCTGTGTTCTAAGAAGACACATATGACTTGTGAATGTGAAGAGGGGTGGAAGCCGAAGAGAAAAGAGGAGAAGGAACTAATTCCAAAGTTATTGCAATAGTATAGCCTAAAAGGACAAGGGACCAAAGGAGAAGTGAGAATACGGGAAAAAAAAAAAAATGGGCTGGATGTGAGTCACATCAAATGTGGAAATTCTGTTTAGGTTCTGGTTTGTGTAGGAGTGACAATGAAAAATAAAAAAGACAACCATCCTGATGACAAAAATGAAGCCATCCAGAGAGGGAGCTGGTTTAGGGGACAGAGGAAACGTCTGTTTTAAGAATATTCAGTCTTAAGTGACAGAACTTACTAGTGGAAATGATCTATAGCAAGTGAGGTA